TTTGTCCTGTTTCTTTGTCTCTGCATTTTTTATGCTTTCTTGGTGCACCCCCTAGTGGTCTTTGTGCGCAGTCTTGTTGTAGTTAAGCCTTGATTGTTGTAGTTAATACTGGGGGGATTTGACCTCCAGGCCAACTGGCTGTGAGAATCAGCTGTGTCTGCAGTGGGAAAACTTCTGTCTCTTCTTTTTTTTTTAATTGCTCTAAACTTCCAGTATAGTAAGTAGTAAGATAGAAGTTACCACAAAACCAGTGATGCCATTAATGAATCTTTGGGAGTCTTAAAAACTCTTAGATGCCATCTAGTTAACCATTTATTTTTTTGTTTGTTTTTCAACTGAGCCTGAGAATTATGGACATTTTCTATTATCAGATATTTTCTTCCACCTTTATTATTTATCCTTAGTATATGTGAAGCACACATATTTTTCATGTTGTATTTTTTTAATGTTAGTCACTACTCATATCACAAATTGATTTTATGATCTACTAATGGAGTAGGAATCTGCCAAAAAACAAGAAAAATGTCTACGCAAGGCACTTAAATCATTATAGCAAGTATTAGTGATTATATTTTATACTTCATATTCATATACTTCAAATTGTTCCATCATACTTGTGTTGGTAATTTGACTTTTATTATTCTCTAAACATTATATTAAATTGAAAATATTTCTGGCGACCTCCAGTCTCATATTTTTCTTAAGACCATGAATCTTTGGCTTTGATTAGGGGAGAGGAAAGAGTAAAATGGGCCCTAGCCAGTTTGGCTCAGTGGACAGAGTGCCAGCCTGAGGACTGAAGGGTCCCGGGTTCGATTCTGGTCAAGGACACATGCCCAGATTGCAGGCTTGATCCCAGTAGTGGGCATGCAGGAGGCAGCCGATCAATGATTCTCTCTCATCATTGCTGATTCTGTCTCTCTTTCACTCTCCCTTCCTCTCTGAAATCAATAAAAATATATATTAAAAAATGAGTGGTCTATAGGTGATACTTTCATACCTTACTTTGAGGAGTTGCGGGTGGGAGCTGAAGAAACAGAGGTTGAAATGGCAGAGCTGTAATGTGTTAGTCGGAGGACCATGACGTGTTCATTTGCCTTTATGTGTTAAACCAAAAGGTCAGTGCATTTGTAAAACAATGATTCCTACCTCCCATATGTAATAAATATGGGTCATCTCTTGCAGTGGTTTCAAAATTGCTTTATTCCTGTCCCCAGGAATAAATAACACAAACACACCTATTCATTGTTTCTGTTAAGTGATGTGCTTTAGTGCTTTCTTCTTCATTTAAAAGAAAAAAGCCAGAAAAAAGCCGGTAGCAACAGTAAATTAAATTCTTGACACATCAGTCTGGGTCAAGTTGAAGAACACTGTCCTGTTGGACAGAGTCCCTGAGTACCACCTGTGCTTGTCATGCGCCTGATTACCAAAGCCACCCTATTGATGAAAAGCCTTACGCAGGAGGGATGACGTAGGGTCTAATCAGAGCAGACATTACCCAGCAGAACCAGAGGAAATCACCCAGTCTGACCTTATAGAAATGCAATATACATGGATATGTATATGTATGTGTAATGTACATTCATATATAGAATATATCGTTCCAGTCTACATTGTTTTTGCAATTAACAAACTATATACAACAACATAAAATTTGTCATAAATCTTAATAGATAGAAGGAATATTCAGGGGAGAATTTCATTTTGTGGGAAACAAAAATATCATGGAATTTTTACTTAGCTAAAAATTTGAAAGGTAAGAATATATTAAAGACATTAGCAGCAGTTTTCATTTATTAAATATTTACTCTGCGTTAAGGACTTAACCTTTATTGCATTTGATCCTCACAAGTATCCAATAAAGATATGTATATTATTTTTTAACAAATGAGAAAAATATGCCTTAATGGAATTACATAAATTTTCCCAAAATAATATAACTAGTAAGTATTCAAATGATGTCCAACACACACCGTCTGCTCCTCTTCACTGCCTGTGATGTCCAGCGTGAACTCTTGAGGCAGATGGTCCTGAATCATGTTACTGCTATCACCTAATTATATGGCTTTGAGTCTGTTTCCTCCCTGTGAGATTTTTAAAAAACATAAGCCTGGCTGGTATGGCTCAGTGGTTGAGCGTGGTCCTATGAACCAGGAGATCATGGTTCGATTCCCGGTCAGAGCACGTGCCCTGGTTGCAGGCTCGGTCCCCAGTGTGGGGCATGCAGGAGGCAGCCGATCAAGGATTCTCTCTCATCATTGATGTTTCCATCTCTCTCTCTCTCTCCCTCTTCCTTCCTCTCTCTGAAATCAATAAAACATATTTTAAAAAACAAGACAACAATCATGTACCTCATAGAGCCATATTGAAGAGTAAGGAAAGAATATAGTAAGTAATTAGTAAATCTACCTAGTAATACAGAAAATTGAGAATCGAGACCACAGGACTTGAAAAGACTGTGAAGTCATTCATCTCTTCAACAGCTAGACTTACACCAAAGTAGAAGTGCTCTTCCATAGCATCGCCAGTTGAGTGATCAAACATGTCTTTCTTTTTTGTCCATCTGTGGGATAAGGAATAATATATTGTCACTTACATGTTACATTATAAAGTTTTAATTGACCAGTTTTCATAGATTGTCCGATCCATTGAAAACACCCCTTCATTTCTAAATCCTGGAATATCTGTAGATTGAAGGTAGCTATTTCTGCTCACTGTTTTGGGCATCCACTTCCCCAAAGGTACTGAAATGGACTTCAATGGCTTTCGGAGAACTCTCAGAGCTCTATTTCATTTCAGCTCATCATTTCACCCCTTTAATAAGCCTTAATAAAATCACAGCTCGTTTTTCAATAGAAATTTCTCATTTGAAGTTTATTAATTTATTCATTCCCATTAGAATTTGAATTACAGTGTATACTATTGCTCCTGACACAACAAGGAAATGTCTCTATTCTCCGAACGACAGAAATCTTTGTAGACCTGCAGGAAAGCCAACTTGTACTAAAGATACTTAAAGTAATTACATTTTTCAATGGGTCGAATCTTAGGGCATTTAAAAATAAAGAACCCTAGAGCATTCTTTTTGATTGCTTGTTTTAAAAAACAATGTGATTTTTACACTGAGTATCTTTTCTTTTCAGAACAACTCTTGGAATTTATGCACCAGTTGCCTGCGTTTGCCAATATGACAATGTCAGTGAGACGAGAGCTCTGTGCTGTGATGGTATTTGCAGTGGTGGAAAGAGCTGGGACCATAGTGTTAAATGATGGTGAAGAGGTTAGTAAATATTTCTTCCACTTAAAAAGTTTCTGTTTGAGGTTCTGTCAATACAGCAAATGAACAGAAAGCCAGTTCTTACTTTTTCCCCCTTAAAAAAACAACAAACAAGTTTGAATAAGTCAAGAGTTATGATACGCTCATTATTATGTGAAAGTATTCCAAATCCATTGTTTTGTTTTCGGTTATTTACAGTATTTCAAATGATACTGATAAAGATATTGTTATGTGTTAACTTTACAGATGTTACAACTTAATGTTTATAATATGCCTTTTGTCAGAAGAAACTAATTTTCTTATTCAAGCAGTGGTGATCACTTTTTCTTACTTACTACATGTGTTTTGGGGAACAGAAGAAACTTTCCCTTTATGTCTTCTTTTTTTAATGTATTTTTATTGATTTCAGAGAGGATGGGAGAGAGAGAGAGAAACATCAATAATGAGTGACAATCATTAATCGGCTGCCTCCTTCATGCCCACTACTGAGGATCAAGCCCGCAACCTGGGTATGTGCCCTTGACCAGAATCGAACCTGGGACCTTTCAGCCCACAGACCTACGCTCTATCCATAAGCCAAACCAGTTAGGGCCCCTTATGTCTTTTTAGAGAATAATATGCAAAGCCATACTGAGATCAGAATGACATACACCCTGTGCTAGACATGAAGATGTGTACTACCTACATGGCTATGCTTTGTTCCTTGTTCTGCGAATTTGGTGAACAGTTAACTTTACTTATTTGTTCCGTCTTTAGAATGAAAAGTCTGCCAAATCATGTGTAGAGACTATTCTGTCTTTTACAACTGCATGATCATGATATTATTTTCTGTTTTGTCTTTGTTTTTTTAATTAGCTGGATTCCTGGTCAGTGATTCTCAATGGTTCTGTAGAAGTGACTTACCCAGATGGCAAAGCAGAAATATTATGTATGGGAAATAGTTTTGGTGTCTCTCCCACCATGGACAAAGAATACATGAAAGGAGTAATGAGAACAAAGGTGGATGACTGCCAGGTATAAAATATCATTTTTAAAAAGTTTATTTTATGCTTAATAAAGAACATATTATCTGTAGTTGTGGTAAGACTTTTATGCCTAAATAAATAGGTCAGCTTTTAGATTTATAAGTAAGATCTTAAAGTAGAACTATTACTTTTAGTGCTTTTAGTGTTATCCTGCCCCAGGAAATTAAAAATAAATCTCCCTTAAAGTTATTTGAACTACACAAAAACTAAGTGTTCTAGAAATATGTTCTCTTAAAAAGAGTGTTCTATACAGATGGTATTTTAACATTTTCCATTAATAATTGATAATCTGTTGATCAAAATATATGGGAGTAAAACTCCCATTCTAAAAATAAATTGTTTAACTAGATTAATAAAGATGATCTTGTACAGTTATGCAGTGTTTTTATTTAATATGTACAAGATAAGGGATTAATTTTAGAAGTCATGAAAATTAATCTTAGTATGACTCAGTAGAAAGATTTGCTAGTAAAAAAATAATTGCTGACATAAGGAAAATACTTGGTAGCTAACATGTCAGTGCTCATACTATGTTAATATTCATTATTTAAAAACATTTAATTAAAGACTAGAGACAATATTGAGACCAAATGTGAAAATTAATTCGATTAATATGAATTGTGATGTCATGTGCCCAAGAGAAAATAATACTGTGACATAAACTGCCATTGGCCTTTTATAAGCAAAATCTTATTTGGGTTTTTATTTTATA